TTCAGTCCTGGTTGTGGGGGGCGGGGGGAGGGTGGCAATGGCAAAGTGGGGGAATGTGGTAGGGCAAAACCTCTCACCTCATGGCCAGGAAGCCAAGAAAGGGAAAAGAAAGTGTCTGGGTTCCCACAATTGCCTTTGAAGTCTTATCTCCAGAGACCTTAAGACTTCGCACTTGGCCCCACCCCTTAAAGGTTCCACCACCTACTAAAACTGCCACACTGGGGCCCAAGCTTTCAACATGGTGGGTTGGGGGAATTCAAGATCCAAACAATAGCATTCACCATGACCAGTATCCATGAAGGGTGAGTCAGAAACTACAGAGAATCAACTTCTGTCTCTTCTGTGTCCTCAATACCCAACAGCAACAAGCACACAGGGGCATCGTGCATCTTCTGACGTGGAGCAGGGGCAGCACCTTCTAAGTGGCTTCACCTTACAGCTGGTTGGTACATCCCACCTTTCTAAGTAGAGATCATTTCTGTGAATCTCCAATCTCCAAACCTACAAAATGCCTTCCAAGATGAAGATGGAGTTTCTCACAAGGATTGTTTCTCTCTGGGCCTCTGCTTTGATGTCTTCACATGTTTGATAGAATGTAGCAAAGACTCTCTTATAAAATCCAGATGAAGCCACCTGGGTCTCAAGATACAATTTGAAACTTGGCTGCTGCCTGTGAGCCAAGGAGAAAATATAATATTAACCATAAGAGCACAAAGTTTAATATAGAAAGATGTTCAAGCTTTATAATTACATTCAGATAGGAGCATGCATGCTTTCCAAGAATAACAACCTGCAGCAATGTAGAACATCTCTCAGAAGTAATCCATAGTCATCTCAAATGTCCATCTGGCCATCAACGCTGAGGAAAATGCTTATTTTGAGTACCTTCTCTTCACTTGGCATGTAGTATGTGTTTTCGCCCGCATTTAAAAGCTTGGATTATTGGAACCAGACAGCACAGGATTAGCTTCTAACTAACTGTGAAAATAAGCTCATCACTGAAACTCTCTGGGCTTCAGGTGACTTACCTGTAAAATGGGGGTGATGTTAGCATCTGCTCTACAAGACTGTTGAGAGAATAAAATGAGTTAATATGCTTGTTACCACATAAAACCATGCATAGTGCATAGTAAATACTTGGTGAATGGTTGCAGTTCTTGTCTCTTTTGCTTTAAAATGCTAGAAAAGAATTAAGCCCTGCCCTTTGGGTTTGTGGAATGAAGAAAGCCACTTTCCAGTGGAAATGTTCCAAATGACTGAGGTAGAAACAAAAATGTCTGAACTGGACCCTCTGTCCCTCTGTTCCAAGAGCTCAAAGCCAGTGCAAAAGACACGTGGACAGAGTGGAGGGCATTTTTAGAAAACATATCTCTCAAAGAGTATTAATAGGTAATTTACCCTATTTCCACTGAAGAGCAGCCTGTAATAGTCAATGTCAGGACACAGTAAAACAAATGTTTGGGCTAGGGGGGGTCACAAGAGCTAAATGCAAAGGAGAGAACTTAATGCACACCTTGGAGTTTCCAGCTCCCTTTAGCCCTTGATTTGAAGATGGCTTATGAAACCCGATGGTAATTCCTGAGGTGGTCTTGCATACATTTATGTATGTTTAAAAGATGGGGAGTAACTTTTATGTTCCACATCTGTTTCTCTCACTAATCTTTCCAGGGTTTTCAGTTAGCTTAGCCTAGTAGTAAACAATTTATAAACTTTGTGTAAGGATTCACGTTTCGCACACGGCTGTGTTATCTTTGTAAGAGCAAGAGGATGGAGATTGGTAGTAATCAAAAAGCAGCTATCGAAGGGTACAGAGCTGCAGTCATACAAGATGAGCAAGCCCTGGAGATCCACTACACAGCAGAGCACATGCAGATAACTTCACTACCCATTTAAAGAATTGCCACGAGTATAGATCTTAAGTGTTTTTTGTTACAAAATAGTAATGAACAAAGCAGGTGAGAGTAAGGCTTTGGAGGAGATGGAGATGTTTATGACATAGAATGTGCTGCAGGTTTCACACGTTTGTATTTGACCTCTAAACTCATCAAGTTGTATACATTAAATATGCATAGCTTTTTGTAGGTCACTGATACCTTAAAAAGCTGGTTTTTAAAATATCTATCATTTATGGAGTACTTATGATCGTGTCGGGCCCTGTTCTGATTCTAGGTATCTATGTCTATATCTGACTGACCTCATTTACTCATCTAAGCATCTTTTTAGGTGGCTCTATTAGTAAGACCAATTGGCACTTTTAACTCTGACAAAGGTATCCCAAAATCCAGTGGAGAAGCACAATATGAGCTTATATGTGTCCGACAATGTCCGAGGTGGGTAGGTGGCTCCCCGGGCAGCAATCTGCTAAGGGATGCCTCAACCTGGAGGTTCCTTCTACACCTCCTCTGAGTCCTTTTCTTCCTTCCAGGTGGATAGAGGAGAGAGAAAGAACAGGGAGCAGGTACCCCAGATCTAAGCTACTTCAACCCAGATGTACCTCACTACTTCTGCTTGAATGGCATTAGCCAGAAATCAACTTTATCCACCAACCTCCCTGGAAGGAAAGTTGGGAAATGTAGATCTAAGCCAATGCTAAAGTATTTGCACAGTTTACCCTCTGGCCACCAAGGGTCCATTTCCTTCTCTCTTCCCCGACACAGAGCAAGTCTAAAACAACCCCTAATGCCATTTGATCACAGCATTCGTCCCCCAGGCAAGGGCTTCTGGGCTGCAAAGGTCTCTGCATAGTCTAGATGTAACCAGCTCTTGGTCCACTGACCTATGAACTCAAACAGAAATGATCTATGAACAAATCAGGCAAGCCACCTTCCTTTCCCTCCCTCTCCCCCCTTCCCCCCCTTTCCTCCCTCCAATGGGTGTAATAAGATAATCACAACAAATATTCCCATTCAGAATGGGAAATACATGGCAGCCACTGACCCCTGACTGTCCAGGCAGAGTGAAGGCCTGCTCCTGTGGGTGGAGAAGGTCCTAGCCCTGGGCTTGCTCTCGAGGGAAACTCTCTTGAAGGTTGTTCTCTGCAGCTGCCAGTTCCCCTGGAAGTCCCATGCCCTGCTCCCCTTGGCCACCAAGGATGGGCATGTCAGGGAGCATCCTCCACATTCCCACAACACACCTCCTGCTGGTAGAAAAAGTTGTTTTGGGTCTTGAAAGACATTTTGAGTACAGGCTTACAGGAATTGTGAGCAATACAGTTTTATCAATGTAGATGTTCAGCCCGTCAAGGAATTGGTAGGTTCCTATAAGTCATCAAATGCCCTCTCTCCTTATTTCCATTCCTGTTTATAATGTAACCATTTCTTTCCTGGGCTTGTCTCACTCTGGAAACACCTTGACAAATGCAGTCACCATAGGCAACACACACAGCTCATGTTTTCCCCAGCCCCTGCCACGGAGCTACTGAGTTACTCAGCACATATCTTCTTTTGAGCTGTCATGACTGTCAAAGCCACCCAGTGTTATACCTCTGTGAAATGTGGAACTCCACCTTTCCAGCCTCTGGATCAGCTCCCTGGCCTCTCATTTATGACTATTGGGCCAAAGCCACTGAGGGAGGTTTTGTTAGAGCAGCATTCATACCCATTATCAATATTGGTATTAGTCAGGAAAAGGCATGTTAGCTGCTGTGACAAATTCCTCAATGTCAGTGATTCATAAAATAGGTCTCACTAAGTACTTAATACATAGAAAGATGCCTGATTAAAATTTGCTGAATAAATGCTTTATGATATATAAGCAAATAGGTTGTTTTGATATATTTAATCTGTTACTGTTAACAAAATCAAGCTTCAAAGAATAAATTCACACATAGAAAGCCATATACTGTAGATCCAGGATCTAGATCCAAAGCCATGACAGGTGCTTGGGCCTACAATTCTCTCCTCAGTAGCTTTCAGAGCAAAAGTGGATTCTACCTTATTCTCTGCATTTACAGCAAAGAAATCCTAAAGCCTGACCGTCTCCCTGAAGTTTTACATCCTTTCTCTCCTTGAATGATTTCAGTCAGAGATATTATATTGCCCACTATACATTGCATAGTAGTTACTTTAGGTGACTCAAAAAAATATAGTGGGAAAGAATCTATAGTTTTCGAAATAATGAGGGTTTGGCCTGAAAATTGTTTGTGTAACTTTGTGCAGTGAGTATATTTAATGATTTGCGCCCATGTCAATATTTCTAATCTCTACTGAATGGTCTGTTTATTTAGCCAATGTTTCTATTCACTTAGGGGATTTTATTACTAGCTATTTATTAAGTCTGGCACAGGCATACATTGTCCTATGATTATTTCTGTGCAAGTTTTGACATATTAACCACCTCTATTGCATCTACACATATGCAAGCCAAAATTGTCAAAAACTGTTGAATAGTCTGAACATAGGCAATACTTCATTCATTCAATATTTATTGAGCACCTATTGTGTAGCAGATACTGAGCAAGATCTGTTTGGGGATATACTATTTTTTTTAATTAACTTTGTTTATTGACCACACTTCACATTGTTTATAATCTGAATTCACAAACGCTTGTGGCCTGTGGGAGTAAGGCAGTCAAAGAAAGGATGGAAATAGTAACATTTGTAATACATTTACAGACTGAAATGTCGGAAGATTTATTCTGATTAGAGACTGAAATGTCAGAAGTTTTATTCGACCCCACAGAGACAAAACTTGCAAAATAAGCATCCTTCCTAGAATTATGATTCACATATGGAAAGAAACTTAACAATAACAACATCTCAAGTACTTTCCTGTTTTATAAAAACATCAGGTACAATTATTTGACATTTTCAAACAGATAAATTAGGGACACGATGCACAGAAATAACTCAGCACAAAGAAGATATAAACACAGTTTCACTGGTATCTCAGTCTGTGAGTTGAGGCAGAAACTTTCTTAAGTGCTTTATTTTTTTCTTATTCCAGCAAAATGATGCCATTGGATCCTTGGGTAACACTTTAAAAGGCAAAAGCAATGTGGAGCATTGGGGCGCATAGAGCCACTCGTGGGAGAAAGAGTGAGCAGTGTTTAGATACCTGAGACCCTGGCTTTTGCTTTGCCTCTGCCTGGGGTCTGCACATGCTGCTTGCTCCTGCTCCTTCCTAACGAGTGTATAGATTGAGCTCTTTGAAATGTGAGTATTATGGGAAGGATCGCAGTTGCTTTAAATTATAGGAGTTGGCAAGTGCCTGGGAGAAGGAGTGGGAGGCTGTTTAAACTGAGGAAGACAGTTGGAAACGCTGTACACCAGCATGAGCGCCACGCTTCAAACGCCTTCCCCTGCTCAGAAGAGCACTTTATTTTTCACCAAGTCGTTTTGGGGGTTGTTTTGGAGCAGCTCCGAGTAATCAGCATATTTCTGCTTTGCATTTTTTTAATGGTTTCTAAATTCATGGGACAACCAACGCAAGAAATCCTCATGTTCGGGGGGAAAATTTGATACCAGCAATGCCCAGAAGAGGTAAGCTACCATTTCCACTATAGCTTTCCTCTCTCTCTCTCTCTCTCTCTCTCTCTCTCTCTTTTTAAAAATTTTATTTTCCCTCCTTTTTGGGTTTTTTCAAAATATTTACTGGAAGGACTTGAAATAGCTACTTGTAAAGAAGTGAGGGAACTTGAAGAAAGAATGTCAACAAATGATAAATCAGAGGTCGGAAAACCTCAGCAGCGATGCTTTCTCCTACTTTCTATTCTGCTTGATTCATGAATCTCTGTGAAATATCTTTGACTATTTGGAAATGCCACTTCTTTTAGAAAATGCTGGGAGAGAGTCTCCAAAGTCTCCCATCTGATAGACCTAGTGTTGGTCAGTGCATCGATGGGCTGATTTAGGTCGAGGTCAGAGCATCTATGTTTTCTTATCCCATTATATGCAGCTCAACTTCCAGAGCTGATTCCTATAAGTCAGAAAACTTTCCCGTGGATTTTAATATCATTCCTAAACTTCTCTTAACTGTGGTTGTAATGACTTATTATAAACTTGTTTGGTAGCCTATGTCTTTTGAAGTTAAATAAATCATTTGAATTTTCCTTGTAATGACACTGGAAGATGTTACCGATATTATACATCCTTGGAGGAAAAAGGAACAAAGAAAAACCTATTTAGATTCAATAATCGTTAATTCAAGTCACAGTGGGCCGACAATGTTGTTATCTCTGTAGGGTGGCTTTGCCTTGCCAATTGTGCCTTGTAAACAGGTAGGGAGCAGAGAGCCTCAGACATTTCCTTGTCTTTCTGTGCATCCGTCACAGAAGCAGCATCTGGTGATTTGAGGTGCAGCGGCATTAATTATGGAGTGTGCCGAGAAACACTGTTATCAGGGTTCCCATCTTCCCAAGGCAGAATTCCAGGTGTAAAAACCAGATATCCACTGAGATCTACAAATTCTTCTGCAGGCTGAGATTTTTAACAGAGCCCCTCATTGATTGCGCACACATACACATGTGCTCACAGGCAGAGGTTAAAAAGCCCTGTGGGTCTGACTGAGCTCCAGTGGTTTGGGAGGTCGCCTCAGTCTGCAAAACCCAACTGGTGTAGAAATGTTCCCAGTCAAGGTCCCGGCCTGCGGGGAAATGTGGGGGCCGCCCAGGGCCACTGCTCGTGGGCTGTGAAAGGCTATACCTTCCTGCTGTCCCCGTGGCTGTTGTGCTTCTGGAATATGTTTTCCTTCTGTGTCAAGTTCTGGTTACGTAAGGTGGATTACGGTGGCTTCCCTGCCTTGTGGTCTCAGAGATTAAGGTCAGAGGAAGGACATTCTGTAAAAAAGAAGGCAGTTCCACCAGCTTGTTGCGGGTGGTCAGGGGACACCCTCCATTAAGCTTCTCTCTGTCCGTGGTTTTAGTGAATGAAGTAAGGGACCCGCTGCTGCGATCTGTCGCCCTGCTCCTCTGAATTTCCTCTCGTGTCCTCCCACCATTCCTATCCCTACCGACCCACAGAGAGGGATCCGGGTTGCACAGACAAGATTATTACCCTCGCCTCCTTCCCTGTCCCTTTAGCCCATCCCTCTCTGGAAGGGGGTCTTCAGGGCCCCACCCATGACCTCATCGCAGGCAGCCGAAAAGCCGGGATGGCCAGCGGTTGCATGGCGCCTGAGAGCACCCTGGGGACGGGTGTGGCCGAGAAACGCACCGTGTGGCATGACGTGGCTTCCCATCATGGGCTCCTCCGGTGGAGGCTGGCGGCATCTCTGGAAGACAAACCCGCCAGGCCCCACCCCTGAGCCCGAAAAGGCCCCAGGAGGACAAAAACAAAAGGCGATTAGGGTTACTAAGGAAGCCCCAAGCCAGCTGACTCATCGGAGTCACGGGGGCCGTGATGAAACCTGGACAGCGCCCTGGAAAGGACAGGTCAGGGTTCTCCCCCAAAGGGTGCTAGTGACAGAGGCCCAAGTGACCTAACTGCACCCTCTGGCCTCAGAGAGGCAGGAAGAGGGAGCAGCGCCTACCAGGGACAGGGGGTGTTGTTAACTACTGAACTGCCGGGCCGTGCCAGGCTTCTGACCTGCTTTGGATATGAACCAGGCTTAGCCCGGGCTGTGGGCTGCAGAGATCCACGCTGGGGGATAGGAGAGAGACATGCACTTACTTCAGCAATCCTACCCGGGTGTCCACTCTGCAGGAGAGACCTTAGCAAGATTCTTTGAACATGAGTCTCAGCCCAGACAAATTAGACCTCCACAGCAGTGCACAAAGCACCCGAGGACACCAACAAGTGCTGGGCATGTCAGCCTGCTGACATCAGGGAGCTTTTCATGGAGTTGTACTTGAGCTAGATCTTGGGGTTGAGCGCCTCCTCATAGAGAGCCATGAGGAGCCAGGACATCCAGGAAGAGGCTGGTATGCAAAGGCTCAGAGGTGTGAAAATCATGGCCGCTCCAAAAGCCAAATTGCATGGGGTGGCAAGGCTCTGTTTCCCAAAGTGAGTGCCAGGGCCCACACTTTCATGGGTTTTTATAAGTATTTTCTGGTTAGGCCAATATGGGAATGTAGAAAACTGCATCACAGTGGACCAGAGCCCTGGTTCTGGGTTCAAAATGCCTGAATTCAAATCCAGTGCCCCCGTCTTAACTGCCATGTAAACTCAGACCCATTCTAGCTTCAATTTCTCCATCTACTAGTGAACATTTCCATCTTCTAGTGGTATTTTAAAGATTAACTTAGAGAATCCCTGTAAGAGCCTATTATCAAGTACCTGGCATATGAGAGCTTAATGGATGTTAGCTGGTTTTTGGATTTAGTGCTCGTTTCTTTGTTGCAGGATCTCTCACACATTTTAGTTGGCTAATGGGCCCAATGACTCTCCATGAGTGGGTCATTAGAATCTAATATTTTCCAATTCATTTCACCAGGAATTTTATTTTTTCCAAGTAGCATCACACAGACCATGATGTGTGCTGGAAAATGGTGAGATCAAATGGGCCCAGTGCATTGAGGCCAAATGTCCTTAAAGAGCACAAAGTTTCCCAAGATCTTATCTGAAATGTACCAATCTTTACCAGCCACTTCACAAATTATCTTTCATATTTCTAAGCTCCAGAGCCCCCTAGAAAATCGACTGTCTTAAAACCATTTTCAACGTTTAGAAGGAAGAGGTGACAGCAAAGTAAATTTTAGTCTGTGATTTCTCACTTGAAAAGTTAGCCTTTGTCTCCAGTTTGAGGACCTACTGTCCTCAATGCAAAAGAGAGATACTAGAAGGGAACGTGGTCCTGCTTTCAAGGAGCTGCTGATTGAATGGGGAAAATCAAGCACACCTTCCAATAGCCAAAATGTGACTTTAGATATCACAAGACACGTTGTACAAGAAGTGAATGGAAATTGAAAGAAGAGACTCCAATTATCGGAATAATCAGTCACATTCTTTGACATCTGTCATGTGCAGGGAACTGGGCTGAGTCCTTTACCATGTGATCTATCCATTTAAACCTTACAACCTGACCATAGGTTGGGAGTGGATTAGTTCATTTCACAGTTGAAAAAACCTGAGCCCCAGAGACATTGAGTAACCTGCCTGTAGTCTGTCCAAACCAAAGGGGAAGCAAGTTCTCTAGCTTAGGTCCCTCTGATGCTCTGCGTCTATCACCAAGGGAAGACTCCTCCAAGGAGGGAACGTGCCAACTGGCTTTGAAGATGAGAAAGGGTTGGCGGAAGGTGCAGAGAGAGAGGCATAAGCACCAGAGAGAAGAGCCCAGGGAGACAGGAGAGCGGCCTGGCAGGACAAAGCAAGTGTTCAGAGAGTGGGGAAGGGCGAGCTGGAGAGACTCGGTTGGAATGATGAAAGCCTTGAATGCCAAACCACAGGGTTTGGACTTCTTTCATGGAATTATCATTAAAGGTTTGTAAACAAGAAAGTAACATGATGAGAAGGGATGATTAATCTGTTCGCAGCAAGGACAGAGGCTGAACTTCAGTGGGGAGCTAGATGGGTGCCGGCAAGAGACAGCAGCAGCTGTGGCTCTCGGGCAGTGAAGGGAGGAGGGGCACAGTTGGCCCAGTCTCCAAGGCCTTCGCCACCACCAGGGTCTTTCCAAACAACAACCCTGAGGCCTCCCTGAGTCCACAGTCCACAGGGGGCTCAGTTTCGATCCTGTCAATTGGGAGAGAAAGGGTGGAGAATGTAGAGTGCCGAAGGGACTAGTTGACCTTTGAGGGCTCTCCCAGCTTTCAAGCCATAAAGATAACATCCTAAATATTTTTATGGAAATCATTAGCTGCACAGTTCCCTATTCGATCACCAGGTTCCAGACTTCTCCTTCATATCAAGCAGGCATGTTTCCAAAACAACTTTAGGGTCTACAAAAGTTTTATGAGTTTACAGCTATAGCAATTACATAATAATGGTATTGGCACGCAAGGACTGGGGGAGGGTGCATTTTAATATACCCCCTCAGGGAATACTTTTGTCCATCTTCCTGGCCTCTGCCTTTTGCAAAACTCAACTGTCTATCTCAGTGATTAAGAACTCTCCCTGCAGCGTGTACCATATCAGAATTTCACAGTGTCTCGAATGAAAATTATTTACCTAGGTGTCTTATGACCTCCTGCAGCTTGCAAATGGGTGATAAGCTTTCAGGAAACAGGGAAGAGTTCCTCTTAATTCTGCAATGCCTTATACCTGTAGCAGGTCTGAACCTTAAGTGACGAACAGGTTTGCAAGAGACATCACATTTCCTTATTTTTCTTAATTCAACTTAAATCTGATTCCAGGAATTTGTGCCAGTAAGAACTTTAGTTTCAGAAAATATTGGTGCTCCTAACTACACAATCCCCAACATTTGGGTCAGGCACAGATTCTGGGACATCCTCTGCCACATCGATTCTACCTAGTCTTTTTGTCCTTTTTGTAAGGAAAGAATCTAATGAAGAAAATAGAGAGGGGAGACAGCTCAACAGGAGCAGGTTATTTGGGACAAATCTGCAGAGGGGGGCCCAGTTGAGACTGAGCCCCATCTTCTGTTTACAGCCTGGGGTAGATAGAGGGGCATGAAGGAGTGGGGGAATGTTTGGCCGGTAGGCCATTGCTAGGGGAGGGTCCTTGTGGTCGTCACCTCCATTCTTTGAGGTGGCCACTGTTACAAGTTAAACCAGGTGTTTTCAGAATTCCAGTTCCAGGTAACAATTTCCTTCTTTTGCATGGTGATGGAATATGGTCTGGGGTTTAGGTCAGACTGAGACATAATGACCCCAAGGTGACTCTTGTTCTAAGTTGGAATATAGGTTCGAAAATGGCGCTGCCTGTGTCAAGTTCTTGCTGATACCTTTGATGTCTGTGGATTCTACTTTCAAACCCTCACGGGGGACTGAGAATCACTGCAAAGGTTAGGATCCCGGTGTCTGAACAGTCTGGGCAGCCCTGCAATCTGAGGTCTGGTCAGCCACACAGGGCCAGCGTGTCCACTTCTCATAGATGTCCCTTTCCCCCTGTCTTCCTAAGTTTGCAAAAATCCCCCATCAAAAGTCTCTCACTGGGCTGGGGATGTGGCTCAAGCGGTAGCACGCTCACCTAGCATGCCTGCGGCCCGGGTTCGATCCTCAGCACCACATACAAACAAAGATGTTGTGTCCGCCGAAAACTAAGAAATAAATATTAAAAATTCTCTCTCTCTCTCTCTTTTTTTAAAAAAAAGTCTCTCACTTTCCCTCTCCATCATATACTTTGAGGTGGGGACTCTTGTGGGGGGGAGGAAGTTGCTTTCAAGAAACTTTTGCCTTTTGCTTCTTGCTCTGCAAAACCCTTGAAATAAGGAAATGCAAAGAGCCAGGCAATGCTTTTGAAATAAGAAGGCAGAAATGGAGAAAGACACACTAACATTTTGGTATGTGTATGTGATTCTGTCACATACCCACTCAAAAATCATCAATAAAATACGTTCCCCACTAGACAATATCATGACTTCCTCGAACTCACTGTTTGCTACCAGAAAAGGTATTCATTATGATCAGATTCATAGTGTCTTTTTATTGAGTGCCTACTCTATGCCAGTACTGCATATATATTGTTTCTATGTCCTCATTTCTTAGACTAGGAGAGGTGAATAGTTTATCTACAGACCGCTGGAGAGTATTTTAAACTGATCTTGTACCAGTCTCCAAAACCTACACCCCTTTCACACTACCACACCAAATCCCAGAAAGGACTCCTGATTTTCTATTCAGTGATTTGGAGCTCTGCTTTTGACTAATCCTTCAGTAACCATTTCCTACTAAAATTTATTTTAGATTGAGTTTTTTTTTTCACCATAAATGGTATAATTCTACTAGATACAGTGATAAGTCTAAAGAATGTTTTACATGCAACTCCTGGTCAGGTGGCAAGGTAGGGAATTCAATCCAATTTGAGTAGACAGCAAGATTAACTTTGTCTAAGGCCACAGTTAGGAGAAAGCTCAAACTCCAGCATATATTTGTCTTTCTTCTGTCTCAAGGTCAAGGGAAGGAAGTCAGTCTTAATTAATGAAAGGCTATTTATAAAACAGTGTTAAATATGTGCAGTTTCAGGGCCTTTGTGTGCTATGAATAACATAGGAACAGCACTAATCTAGGTGCCTTAAAACTCATCCTAACAGATGTATTCTGAGAAGATTTGAGAGCTGTTGTTAAAACACTGTGTCCTTGCTCATGGCTGACACCCGCCAACAGAAGATTTTCTTAGATTGATAAGCGATCTTTTTTCAGCTTCCTTTTTGAAGCATTAATTTATTTAGAAAAGACCTTTATGAAGTGATTTTTATCTCATTCACTTGAAATCGAATTTAACACCACTGGAATCTTAAAGGATTCTTGGAATGTATCTGCCTTGCCAACCCACTTTATCACAGGTATCTCTATCAGCTGCCAGGATCATTCACAATTCCTCTTTCCCTTCACAGTAAAAATCATGCTCCTCGGTGTGGCCCAAGAGCGTGCTTTGGTTTGAATGCCACCCCAAAAAGCATGTGTTAGAAACAATGCTCAGTGCAACAATGGGTTGGGAGGTGGGGCCTAATGGGAGGTGTTTAGGCTATGAGGGGTCCAGCCTCAGGAATGGGTTAATGCCTACTGAGAAGGCTGTGAGTATATGGCACATGCTCTCTCTTGCCATTTTGCCTTCCATCAGGGGATGACATGGTAGGAAGGCCCTCGCTAGACATAGGCCCCTTGATCTAAGGCTCCTATCCTCCAAAAATGAAATAAATCTGTTCTTTGTAAATTACCTAGTTGTAGGCATTCTGTTACAGAGCATGAAACAGATAAAGACAGGAGTCTTTAAAATCAATCTCTCTCTCTCTCTCTCTCTCTCTCTCTCTCTCTCTCTCAGTGTTGTGGGGTTGAACCCAGAGCCTCATGCATATTAGGTGATTACTCCACCAGAGAACTACATCCCTGGCCCTTGGAAAACCTATCTATTGACTGCCCTTCTTGTCCACTCAAGGACACTCCTGCCACTCTCCTCCAGAAATCCATTTTCTATATACAGTGAGCTCCTTGGTTTCTGGGGCAGCCCTCTTGTCTACCTGATATCATTCTAAATAATCTGAGACCACATCTTACCTTTGTATAAACTATGTTAAAACTATGAAATTTCTGGTCCTCAATCATTTTATTACCTACAAAAAAATTACAATTTTATAGGATTCCAATATAATCTAGAAATGTAAAAGACAAACTCTCCCTTCTTAAAGTTAATTTACATGCCAGCTCTTACGTACAACAAAAAATGTGTTGATCATCCTCTGTCCCTGAGCCTGAGATGGAACGGTATCTAAACAGACTTTTAGAATTCATCCAAGCTGCAGACCTCCCTAGACTCGTGCAGTAGCAAAACACTCGTCCTTAGTAGAGCTACCCCTTCCATTAAAACACCACTGGTCACTAGCATGTTCTTTGTCATGCCCGAATCTGTTTGTTTTTTAAACATCTCACGATTGGTCTTTGTTTTGCTTTTAGATGTAACAAGGAAAAGTCTTCTTTCCTCTGGCATTTTAAATACTTACCCACTCTTTCCCAGAACACACAAGGGAGAACTTTCCCAGACACCTGGGACTCACCTAAGATTTGTGCGGCCCTCTTAAAACAGACATCTGGACTTGACCAGCAGATTCCAAATGATTCCAGCCAACTTCATCTTGATGACCTGGGATGGCACGTGGCTCCCTGAGGCCCTGTACTGAGAAAGAATCAGAACCCCATCTGGAGTCAGCAAGAAACCAATTAGTGATGTCAAACAGAAAAATCAGATATTTTCCAGAGCTGTTCTAACTACTATTCTGGATATTATCTGACCTCCCAGAGTATAAAGAAACTGTTACTCAAATTCTTTGTTTTCCTTAATGCTAGTTTTGTATCAGTTATTTGCTAATAAGCCCATCTCATGAAAAGATTGAATAAGACATTCAGATTATTTCTTAAACTTAGTTATGGTACAGCTTGTTTTTACCCTTGTTAAGGTGCCACTTTTCTTCTTACTGAACTAAAAAATAATGAAGAATCTGGAATCATGATCTCTTTCAGTTTCAGCTCTTCCTCAGGGCTGTGTGTTGATGGGCAAGTCATGTGAATACTCAGTCTTTGTAGATCATTGAAAATGGGAATAGCATTTACCTATTCCACTGGACTCACTGGGAGTATGAAGTGAGATACTATGTAAGAAAAAGCATAAGGCTATAAGGTGAAATTTAAATGCTGGTTATCATTAGGAGCCTGATTTCTTCTAACTGGCCAACTTGATTTCCCTTTGGTCTCTTTGTTTTGGTGGCGTCCTTCTCTCTGGACAAACTGGCACCTAGTTGGACATTAACAACAAAAGCACAAGCAACAGGAATGCAAACATGCGAGGGACTTGGTGAATGGACTTGCATGTGAGTGTACCCATGCCAAGGCAGAGAATTTCAGCCAAGATGGAAATGTCTCCAGGATGTGGTCAAAGCAGTGACAAGCAAATCCCAGGCAGCTTTGCCTGGCTTTCTTTGATGACAGTCATGTCCCCTGAATTGTGGTTTCGATTTCCACAGTTTCACTGCAGTCCAGCCACATTCTTTGCCCGATCATGATCCAAAATTTTTAAATAGAAAATTCCAGAAATAAATAATTCACAAGTTTTAAATTATGCACCATTCTCAGTAACACAATGAAATCTTACACCATCCTGTTCTATGGTGCCAGGGACATAAATCAGCCTTTTGTCCAGTGTATCCATGCTGTATATGCTACTCACCTGTTAGTCGCTGAGTAGTCCTTCTAGTTGTCAGATCAACTGTCATGGCATAACAGTGCATATGTTCAAATAAGCTTTTATTTTACTTAATTATGGCCCCAAGGTACAAACCTGTATTATAGTATGTTGTTATAACTGTCCTATTTCATTAATTACTATTTGAGTTGTCAGTCTCTTGCTACACCTGATTTATAAATTAAATTTTATAAAGATGTATATAAAGGTATGTATGAGTAGGAAAAAAACACAATTTATAGAAAAGTCTACACTATCTGAATTTCAGGCATCCCCTGGAGGTCCCACTGATAAGGGGGAATTACTGTAACCAAGGCTTTGAATGTGTGGCTTGGAATGATTTGTGCTTGCCATTTGTTAACACATTTCAACATTGCTGCTCCAATTCTTTGGTCCACAAACATACATAAGCATTTCTCAGGGATACATCATCAGTAAGACATTCGTGTAGCTCTATGCAACACACTAATTCAGGGGCCACAACCCTTAATCTACAGGGCCAAGCAGAAAATGCACACTAGTGGGTAAGCACAGGGAGACCCCTGAGAGCCAGGACTGCCTGCTCTATCTGCAGCAGGCGGACACTATCTGATGAATGGAATCCAAGGAGAACGTGGCCCAGCAAGTGCCAGTCGTTTTATGTTCAATAAAATCCATATATCTGGATGCTTTTATGTGAAATATTCCTATTTTAAAATGCTTGCTGTGTGTTTGACCCATGAAATGGCATTTTCATAGAGTTGAACTCACTGTAATTTAGAGACAGAATGAGTTCCCATTTTTTTTTCCCACTGTGTGAGAAATCTCAAGAGCCTTTGCCATTCTGCCAACATGTCCTGAATAAACACGTACACACGTGCACATTACCTGCCAGTCAGGCTGGAAAGCAGAGCTTCCCACTCCAGCAAAGGCAGCCCTGTGGACGAGCCCTCAGTTTATCTCTCAACACACTTAGGAGGCTGAGAAGGTGACTGGCCCTGTTTTGCAAATGAGACCCACGCCTCACCTTGGGTCAGCAGTGACACAAATGTAAATGAGCACAAAGTCTGCTGGCCCACAGAGCTGAAGTCCTACCGCCTTTGTTACACAGGACCAGGGGAGGTAGTGTGAAATGTTACTGCTGCTCACTCCTCCAGTGGTGGACACGGAGTGAGCCATGATGCCCTGTCCTCTCTTGGCCCTAATCTCCCTGGCCTTCTACCCCTTCTGTGGAGAACTGGCCTCTCCTGCACATCCCCCATTTCTCCTTTTCTACTCCTTAACTTAGTCCTCTTCTCACCTGGCCTGCTTCACTCACTCGGTCTCACCCTCTTCCCATCCCATTCTTTGTGCCCTGTGTTTCTTTCCTTTCACACCATGTCTCTGGTCTCTTTCTGTCACCCACATTCTCTTCCTATTCTCTCCACTTCAGCTTCCCACCCTTCTCTCTCCTTATGCCCACCTTCTCCAAGGTCCCTTCCTCTTTCTTTATTTTCTCCCTGCTATCTTCTCCACCCTCAAGTCTAAGTTCTATTGCTTTGTTTGTATTTATGCTTCATTTCCTGTAGCTTACAAGACCCCCCCCCCCCGAATAAATAAAGTGCCTAGCCCAGAGCCTGGTATTGGTAAAAACCCTCTAAACAAAAGTTGGCTGCTTGCACACACGATTTGAGGTCAATTGAAAGAAATATGCAAAATAAAGCAATTTAAATGGAAACAGAAAATCAAAGCCACGGAGAGGAAGAAGGACAAATATGTGAACCACAGGACCAATCTGGTTACTGTGATGGAGTGTGAAATTTCACTTCCTGGCAGCCAAACCCGAGTCTTTTCAGACAAAAAGTGACCCATGTATTCTCGGGTGTGCTGGGGGGGAGAGGGGGGGCGCGGGCAAAGGGCCAAGCAGGGCACTGAGCGCCCTGTTTTTCCCTCTACTTGGGTTTTATTTTCAGCAACCCACTAATCTCTCCCGGAGCAGTCACGCTGTGTGCTGGTGAAGCCTCACTCCGACGCTGTTTGATTGTTGTTTTGTGCGGTGGAGAATGCACGCCTTATAGTGAAGGCAGTTGAAGCGGTTGCTATGGCGTTGCTAGCGGAAACCTGTCACTCCTGGTTAATCTGAAAGCCTACTGAACACCAGGGCCAGCTGCAGCTGGGAGATAGATGGAAGGAAAGTATCAGATAAAGGAAGAAGGGAAAAGCTCTCCTGAAAGCTGTTTTCCCTTTAAGACGCTCATTTCGCCATCCTTCCTTGCCCCTGTTACCATCACTTTCCTTCTGAGACAGATTTCAGGTTCTGAATATTTCCCTCCAGTAGGAATTCCAGAGTAATTTTCCAAGATTTAATGCTAATTACTTAATATTTTAATCCAAAAAGGCAGCACAAGGTAGGTTGGCTGTGAAGCTTGAACACTTTGGGGAAGCACCGGCTGTGATTTTCTGGATGGGCACCACAGGTCGATTAACTTCTCACCACCTCCTTGTTGCAAAAATTGAGAATGAGAGCACCCATTTCTTTAGTGTCATTGTGAGGATTATATGAGATAATATGCTGCCCTGTTAATTATAGCTGATATTAAAATTCCTGTTTCCACCATGGGAATGAAACAGAAGAGAAACGTTCAGGCAGGCAGGGTGGAGACTGATCATGAAGCACCAAATCTTCTTCCCTCTCTTCCTTCCTTTCTCCCTCCCTTCCTTTTTTCTTTCTTCCATTTTTCCATCCCTTCTTCATCCCTTTTTCTCCCTTCAAAGCTACCCAGTGTGCGCATGCATTCAATAAGCTTTCTAATTAAACAAAAATTGCAGATTTCTTTATACAACAACTCCAGCTATAAATGGCCTTAATTATAAGATTTGTGTCCTTTACTACACAAAACGATATTCTAAATTGGATTTGAATGAGATCCTGAAAGAGATTCAGACATGCTTGGCAAGTGGGAGAAAAGATCGAGCGTAACAACATGGCGTAAGTAGGGCAGGAGTCCTGGCAGGTGTTCTCAACCTTGGTTGCACCCAAACAATCAATGAGGGAGATTGGAAAAAGTCCAGGCTGCACCCAACACCAGGACATCAGGATCTCTGGGGGAAGAATCCTGGCATTTATAATTGTTTAAAGTTCCTGAATGTGTAGCCAAAGTTGAGAGCCATGGTTGGAGGGGATGGCCTATGGTATGGAGAGCTGCCCACCCCAGGGCTGCATGGTGTACTCAGGTGTGAAGACATCGATAACCTTCTAGACACCACAGAGCCCTTTCAGGAGACTTGAAGAAACAGTCATCCTGGTGTGAAAGGAAGGAGAGAGTGGCTAGGAAAGATCTAGAGTGGGCCTTGTGCCTTCAACAGACATGGTAGAACCCAGGGAGCCAGGGGGAGACAGTTGGAGGAATTAACAAAGGCAGCATGACTCTTTTTAAAACAAAACTCATTTTTTGAATATGGGAAACCTAAGCATATTTAAGCTAAAACAAGTCTACCACATTTTTGTAAGCTTAAAATTTAAATTTTGGAAAATGGTAAAAAGGAAAAAATATGTGCTTTGACCCAGTTGATTCATCAGAGGCTCTTAACCAACCAAGCATATCTCCTGCTTCACACCTCACCATTTTAAATGCCATTTATTAAATTTCCTGCTGTGTCAAATATGTCACTTGATCACTTCTCTTCACCCTCAAAAATCCCATCTCACAGACAAGAAATTTCTCAGATGAGTAATGAAACTCGGAGAGTTTGCCTGAAGTCAGTAAGTGGCAAAACTAGGACTCAAGCCTGGGTTGGCGTGACCCCAGAGTTCACAGTCTTTCTACGCTGCCACTATGGGTGTAAAGAAAAAATTCATTTCTAGAAGAACTGCATACTTCCTTCAAAACCTGCAAAATGACATACACACAACAACAACAACAACAACCAAAAACTGTGTCCTGAAAGATACATCAATAGCTTCTGAACAAAATCAGTGA